CAGCCCTACCCATCCTATAGGTATTGGCAGATCTCTAACGAACAAATTCTTTTGTTTTTCTTCAAGAACAAAGAAGATGAGTCCACAGAAGTATTATTGGCAAGATCCCAGCTAACTCTCTTTGAGGTATAGAAACATTTAAAAAAACAAAATGCAGATTTTGAGTAGAGTTTATGCTGGGTTTGACCAAAGTTAATGTCATGACATATGACTGTAACACTTAATTTAATATTATAAACCAACTTGGATACCCACTGCTGTAGTCTCCTTCGCAGACACTATTAGGGTCAGCTGTGACGACTCTTATAACAGCTGTGAAGGAAACTACCACTGCTGATGCAATGGGCCTTTCTAACCCCTTGACTTCTAGGGTTGGGATGATTTACTATTGACTCTACAAGGCTCAAATTATAACAGCTGGTCAACGGACAATGTCCGGCCAAGATGACCCAACCCTCCAAGTTAAAATTTTTACTCAGTGGCCATTTGGTGACCAACTCTTTGGCTTTAGTCACTAGGGTAAATTTCTAGGTGCCAAATTATTTTAATAAATTAATGTATCAAAAATTGTCATTTACAAAAGCAGTTACCAAGTTTAACTTAAAATGCTGCACTGTTTATAAATTACTCATTTATTATGGAAGGCATTATTTACTGATAGTCCGAGAAGGAGGTTTGCAGATTCATATCCTTAAATCAATACTGAAGCAAAATTGTAAAGACAAGAACCATTTCCAGTTGTCTTTAGGGCCTTCAATCCTTCCGTATAATCTTATATTGGTATATGAGAGCAGAACATAACTCATCCCCTGTTAATGTGTTCAAACTTCCCAGTTACAATTTGAAAGGCGATCTTTTTTTTCTGATATTCGCTTCACATTTCTTCTGCGACTTTTGTTGATGATGGACTTGTTTCCCCAACTATCAAATATTCTTGGAGATTTAAAAGGTCGTTTTTAATTTCTCTAGACATTGCAAAAGCCTCGCAAAGGCAGGAGAGTATAGGAAGATCAACATTAGTCTTATAAATCAAATCATTGCTTTATACAGAGATAACATCATGCATGTGAAAATTTCGCAACGATTGTACCGGGAAAACATTTTTCCCCAATCCATTGACAGGAATTTAAACAAAAATGTCTCATATGACTTAATAAATTTCTTTTTTTTGTTTATCATTGATACAGGTGTTTAAAAAATAAATTTTTTGCAACAACCATAAACTGTCGGTTTTTGCGATGTGTAGTTTTGCTTACAATTATAATTGCTATTATCTGCAAAACCATGATTCAACTCACTGCTTGGCTCTCATGTTATGGTTATTACACAGTTTTCTGTGTTGACTTCACAGCAATTTAGCTTTCCCTCTTCATGTTATTAGATTCATTATTGATTGAAGAATATTTAAAATATGTAGTCCAGTCTAAAAAACCACCAAGCTTGGCCAGACAAGCATTCCTAACGTATCGAAATCAACACTGTCAGCAAGCAAGGCACTTTGATTGCGCGCTAATTGTCACGTGTCAAAAGGCTTAAAATGTCATGTGCAAGGCAACAGACTCAGTGGAAGTGAACGAATGCAGGTCAAGTTTCAAATCAGCTAGAATAAATGTTCTTCATATTTCAGTAGATGTGATTACCATTTCTGTTTCTTTACGAACGTATTCTTCATGGTCACCAACTTGGCGACTATTTTCCAAATCAAGTTGCCAGTTCCAAAATTTTAGGTGCCTTGGCGACTAAAATGGTCACAACTTGGAGGGTTGTGACCATTCGTCTTGACAAAGTTTACATTTTGCTGGTCATTTTGACTGGACAAAACAACAACAACAACAACAACAACACAACGACAACAAACATTTCACGTTACATTACAAGAGGGCATGCATCTTTTTTCACTCTTTTTTTCTTGTCAGGCTTGTGCCAGTTATTACAGTCGAACCTCGATTATTCTGACTTTGATTATCCGGATTTCTCGATTATCTGGACTTTTTCTCTGGCCCCAATTTGGTCATGAATATTTAGCCACATCCTTTTTAAAACTACAGCATTGAAAAGTGAAGTCAAATATGAGGTTTTTTTGCTTTCCAAGAGCAAAAGCAGCGCTCGCATGTGTCGTAACTAATGAAGAACATTTGAATGAGTTCTGATTGGCTCAGAGTTGCATTGTTGCTAAGTGAAATTTCACGCTCTACTTAACATTTTATTGGCTCACGCGGTGTGGTATGCAAAACAAACAAGCTAGCATCACAAACGTTTATTTACAATCATCATGTCTTTGAAGCGAAAGCAATCCGTTTTTTTGATAAAAGATAAACACAACCTCGTCCCCAGGGTCTCTCATCTTCCCGCCCAAGCTTCCTCTCTCGCTTGGGCGGGAAGATGAGAGACCCTGGGAAAGAGGTTGAGATAAACAGTCTATTATAATTGTGGGATTAGAGACTCATTAGAGAAAGGAGGAAAAGGAACCAATTTATTAGCTGAATATGGTGTCAGTAAGCAGCAGATCTCTGATATCCACTAAAACAAGGAAAACGATCATGAAATTTGCCATCATCTTTAGAGACCAGCGAAGGACTGAAGGGAAAATCACTGAAAGTTGCACATGATGAACAGCTCAATAAAACCCTGTACGTCTAGTTTATTCAGCAGGGAACATCTGGCACTCCAATTTCTGGTCCCCCAAACAATTTGTAAAGTCTTGTTTCACAATCAGTTGTCCTTTTCTCAATTTAAACAGTTTTGTTCTTCATTAATATTCATATTTTTGATTATCCGGACCCTCTATTATCCGGACTATTTCGTCTGGTCCCATCGAGTCCAGATAATCGAGGTTCGACTGTATCGTGTTATTTTAACATTTTAGGAGGTTGGAAGAGAGACATGACCGAGCTAAAATTTATGTAGCTAGTCAACACAACCAGCAACAGTCCCAAATTTATTTTGAGCCCAGTTTTAGATGCTGTGGTCAAAAACTTGAGTGTGACCATTCAACAAAACCCTTGGGGCCTCTTCTCCTAGTAGTGTGGTATCAGTGTGTATTTGTAATAAGACTATTACGAATTTTCAAGTTCTACTATGAGACTTGGTTCTACTTGATTCTCTTCACTTTTCAAAACACACAAAGTCAACCAGTTTCTTAAATCCTTTTATCTCTGTCCATCATCTATCAATGAGGCCCTCTAATAGGGGAGTTACCTATGGCCCCCAAATCTGAATTTCAAAACCTGTCATTTCGCATATTGAGGATGAAGCAATATCATTGGTGGTGTTTTAATATTTTATTTGCCCTTTTGTCTGTCACTGTCGCAGTCGTTTTTTTTATTTCTGCTGTCCTATGTCACTATTTCAAGGCCATGTTGCTTGTCGGAATTTTACCCTTAAAAAAGGCTTCATCAATGATTTTTTTGCAATGTGCAATGTACAGGAATACCACTCAAGTTAACAATTAAAAAAATCTGTGCCTCTTTTTTTGTACTTTCTGTTTCCAGAGAAGACCTGGGGTTCAGGAAATGGAGTCACTGATGCGGGATCCTGAAATGGATGAAGAACAAGAAGTGCCATTACCAGATCTCATGGAACTTGCAAACTACTTTGAACAAGCTGGTGTTGGCATTGGTAGAGAAGAAACTTTTAGAATATTCTTGGCTTTGAAGATTTTAATTGATACACAGCCAATTAGAACTTGTAGATTTTGGGGTAAGGACAATGATAAGAATTTTCTTCATTCAACAAAAAATTAATAAATTATTGTCAGGGATGTCACTAAGAGCTGGCTGCTGGCTTATTTCACCTGTGATAAATACCTTATCACTGACTCAAATAATTGCTCTGGAAAATAATAGACATGAAGTTAGAGGGTAATTTTGAAGGTGCAGTTGAGTAGAAAAGTGGGCTTGACTAATAAACAAACTGGCTTAGCTTTTCCTTAGCTACATCCCTGATTGTAAAATCCTGATTTAAAATAAGACTAAAGAATTTGGCCTTAGAATATAATACTTCCTTTCAGGTAAAATATTTGGTATTCATGCAAATTATATAATTGCTGAAGTGGAGTTTTTTGAAGGAGAAGATCCAGAAGAACAATTAGATGGTGAAAACCAACAAGACAAAGAAGAGGTATAATCTGTTGTTTTTAAATTGTATTCTACCCATTGCAATTTATTATGGGCTTCACATTTTAATAAACATTTTGTCGTCAAGGACATTGAAGCCATTCAAGTTTAATTATAAAATATATTTTGTTCTTTACAGAATGAAGCAAAGATTGACATAATAAAAGAAGGAGATTTTGATGTGGAAGAAGATGATGTCCCTCAGCCAGAGTATAAACCACCAGCACTAATTCCCAATGAAGACAACAGAACAGGTTGTAACAAGAAAACATACTTTGTTTCCAATGAGGGTTAGTATTATTTTTTGTTTTCATGTTTCCTTGAAATTTCTTTGTTTGATCAGGAATGAGTTGTAGTAAGAAGATAAGGCAGGTGTGAAGGGTCTACAGCAGTGGTGGAAACCAAGAGGGTAACACATGCACAGCAGTAATTAATTATGATAATGATAAAGATAATAATAATAATAATAATAATAATAATAATAATAATAATAACTCTTTATTTTGCAAGGTTAGCACTTTACAGTAAAACATTGATGAACCTGTGGCCCTCACCTTAGAAATTTTTTGAATTAAGTACAGGTCATTAGCAGGTACTACAGAGGAGGCTGCAGGGCTAATCTCCAGGTTGTTATTACGCATGTGTTGCATGTATGTAAACTGCGTTTGCTTGGACTTCCACTAAGAATGAATGGAATACACATAACGCAATTTGATCATGCATGTTTGGACCTTCTATCCCTTGAATCTGATCATGCGTGTTTTGACCATCTGCCGCGTAAATCACAGCATCGGAGAAAAAGCGTTTTGACCTTCGATCGTTATTGCCTGCACTCTGTAACCTTTGGTTATTACTAGTTAATTATGAAAAAATTTTGTATACCTAAAGAAATCAAATGGAGTAGAAAAACAAGCCGGAAAAAAAATAAATAATAATGATTATAATAATATTAGTAAATAAAATAAATAAAAAATATAAACAAAAATACATAAATGAACGAAAATAAAAGTTATGAAAAAGGAAAATTATGTAAGCCAGCACAACTTTCCTTAGGAGAAAGGGTTGCTGTTGAAAAGCCAAAAAAAAAGATAATGAAGTGTTTTTGATAGAAGATTAGAGCTGTGGAGTCAGAAAAGAGAGGGTTAGAGACCAAGAGAAAATGGAATGGGAAGTAGGAGTAAACAAAACATAAGGGCATAGGGAATGAAAGAGAAAAGGATTGGGAACCAAGCTAAGAGTAAGGAAGGTTGGAGAGTGAAGGATGTCAAGGAAGGGACAAAGGAGTAGACACTTAAGGGCCCAGTTGTTCAAAGGCTGATTATATTAGCACTAACTCGGGGTTAAATTTTAATCCGCTTTTCTTTATCCTTTTTTCAAAAGCATCTTTGCGGATATTTCTCTCAGTTCATCTAATTACCTAACTGTGGACAAAAATAATTAAACTGAATTTTCTTTTTAAGGTTTCATATCTGAATTCAAATTCCACACTAACCCTGGGTTACTCTAACCTAGCTTAATGAACAACCAGGCCCAGAAGTCTAAGAGTCAAGTGTGTAGTAGTTACGAGAGGTGATAGGAAATAGAAGAGAAAGAGATGAAAAGAAGGATGAAGAGAAAGAGGGTGGGAAATTCACAATGTCCATACAAAGTAAGATTTGCTTAATTGTGCCTTAGGCCTTAACCTCTTTTTGCCAGTGAAAATTGCCTTACCTGACTGGTAACTTCCCTTCATACTCTGCAAATAGCTCATCATAGAATAGCAGAATAGTTAATGTTATTTTATTACAGTAGGCCCTAATCTTTCCTCTTAATTAGTGGTCTTGGTTTGAATATAGTACAGTCTGTATGTAAACACTTGGGATTGATCACAAACTATACTGGACAGATAAAATTAGTACAGTTGACTCTCTCTTTATGGACACCTCTATGAGATGGACACCTCTGTAAAACCGACACCTAGAAATGGTCCCTCCCTTTCTTTACCCCCTTTATTTGACTCTCTATAAGACAGACATCTCTTTAACATGGACACTCAGAGTGCCAGGTCCTAAAGGTGTCCATCACCGAGACAGTTGACTGTAGTTTAAGTGTCAGGTTTGGAATATACTGTTGAGCTACGGTCCAGAAGTTAAAAATAATCTAATGCCAGTTTTATCTTCTGTTACAGCTGGAGGTTCATGGGTCAGACTTCCCCCGGTTACACCTGCACAGATCGTAATATCAAGACAAATCAGAAAATTTTTCACTGGGAATCTGCAAGCACCTGTGAGTGTTGCTAATCATTGCAGTGTAGTTGAGCTTTCTCTATTTGTACTGTAGTTTGTAAAATGCTACATGTTTCTTTTCCTCTTCAAATATTCTTCAGGTTGTCAGTTATCCACCTTTTCCTGGAAATGAAGCTAACTACTTGCGAGCACAGATTGCCAGAATATCAGCCACTACACACATCAGTCCACTTGGATACTACGTGTTTGAAGAGGAAGAAGAAGAGGATGATGAAGGAGGAGGTACTGACAATATATACTATTCGGAAATGTTGTTTGTTGTAATCAGAGCTTTAGTCTACGCTTTTGCTGTAGCTTTAATTCCTGACTAAGCCTGGTGAGCCAGGCGCTAACATTTTCTTGAACCAATGCAGATTGAGATAAGCATGTGAATGACAAAAGCAAGAACTCTGCTTCTAAGTTTTACCTAAATTTAGCATCACAGGGCTTGAAAACTTGAATTCCAGTGCCCTTTCTGGAAGCAGCTCTCACATTTCCGTTTCCCTTGGCCACTGCTTGCCCATCTTAATTAACCCTTTAAGTCCCAAAAGTGACCAACATCAATTTTCTCCTAACTGTATCAATATCAATACATCATCAAGAGAAAAGGTTAGGAGAATTAACAAAATGATGAAGAAAGGAGAAATGCTTTAATCTTTTAGGTTCTCTCAACTAATTCTATAAGGCAGTGTGTGGTGGACACTAGTGTGGAGAATTTGTATTTGGATATTGTGGCTTAAAAAGGGTTAATGATTTTGCTGGACATGCAATGACTTGCCTGGACCCTGGCTTGCCCATTGGGTAGCAAGTAAGCATTAAAAGTTACTTGCCCAGCAAGAAAGTCTTAACTTGTCACAGATTACCAGACAGCTAGGACCTTTTTAAAGCCCTGAGCATGATCCAAAACACACAGTTGCTAAAATGGCATTTTTTTCTCTCCTCCTTTGATCAGCTCGTGATTCATTTGTGGTAAACACAGAGTTTGAAGGTCTGACTCTGAACGAGATGACTGATCCATCATGTGCAAACTGGGTCCATCATGTGCAGTATGTCCTTCCACAGGTATGCAATAAATTATTGTCCTGTTAGTCTTCTGCTCATGGCTACATGATGCAAGTGCTATACTTCTCTCTAACAACCCACCTATAAATTAAATTGGGTACCTACTAAATGCGCATGTCTTTGTTGTGGTACCAGTAACCCACTCTTTGGGGAGATGCCACCAGTTGTCATATTTTTGTCATCATTAGTTTCTTTAGTGTGAGAATCTTAAAGTCCAGGGATGTAACTACCTATGCACCAGTATGCATGTGCATACCTGAAAAAAAAGTTTCCAATATAAAAAACAAAAGAAATAGAAAAATAAAGAAAAAAACTAAATAAAAGATAGAAAACGGTGTAGTGGGCGTGGCCCATGCTTCTCCCTTAAAACAAAATGCGATGTTAGAGATTTGACTCCCATATGGACAAATTAAAGTGGAAATTGAATCTTCACCCATATGTGAAAACCATTTTGGAAACAGGGTAGAACTAGTATGCATACCTCAGTCTGGAAAATTTTACATGCCACACAACTTTGACAAACATATACTGAGATCACCCTTATCAAACGTTGGGGGAATGTTTACCTTTATGGCCATAAGATCTGCTTACTAAGCTTCAGTTGAGAACACTGTTTTTGAGTGGAGGCCTAATATTGTATTTCTGTTAGGGACGCTGCACATGGTTCAACCCACTGCAGAAGAAAGATGAAGAGGAGCTGGAGGAGGAAGAGGAAGATGAAGAAAGAGAAGAACCTGATGAACCCGAGCCAGAGCAGGGACCCCCACTGCTTACACCACTCTCAGAAGATGCAGGTGAGAAGTTTTAAACTCCATGTTTGAAATAACATTATAAAAATCACCCACTATCTGGCATAGCCAATGCTTTACTAAAATGATAAAAGTCCAGTTTATAGTGCAGTGTTTGCCACCATATATACATTCTGTAAGCCAAGGAACTTTCCTGATCTTTCTTGTCAGCACATTTTTGATTGGTCATGGCTTAGATTAATGTGTTGATTCCAGGCCATTTGTTTTAAACCTAAACTCATATTTGCTTGGTTGAAACCTGTGGAAACAAAAAAACAAAGTGCTTGTCTTTGTGCACATTCCCTTTTGGACAGCTGGAAATATTAGGTTGATAGCCCTTAAATGTTTCTAACAAAACCTCTAACACAATGAATACTCAAAGCCTTTTATCATATCTTATCAGAGGTTGATGGCATGCCTCCCTGGACAGCACAGAAATCCTCCACTTTAGTACCTCAGTATTCCTTGTCTGTCATGCACTCAAATTTATGGCCAGGGGCCCATGCATTTGCTGTTGAGAGGTTAGTGTTCACTGGTTTTACAACATTAAATTTATTTTATTGAATTTTATCTTTCACCAAAATGTTGCCAGGGTAACCACAATGGTTTACCATCACTCTAGTCTCCCCCATGAAAGACAGGGTTTGCCTAAAACCTGGAATCTGGAAAGTTTAGTGATTAGCGTTAGGAAACTGAGTGAATCAAGTTTCAGATCAGTTTGCCCATTATAATGATCAAAATGGAGCCTGATTCACTCACTTTCCTAACCATCATTACTGCTCTTCAGAGTCATTAAGCATTCTGTGTGGGCTTACCGGATACCGGGTTTAAGGCAAACCCTGACAATTCTTGAGATTTCCCCTGGAAATAATTTGTCTTAGAGGTCTTCTTCTTCGTGGTCCGACGCCATCATGTTACAAACTCTAACTGAGAAATGACAAACTTCAAAAGAACAACAAGAATTTACTTTTTATTTGCCCTGCTCCCTCCTCACAGGAGAGGGCTGCTTAAAAAAAATTCCCCACCCCAGAACAGAAGGACTGGATTTGTTCCAGGGGGCAGGTGGTAACAGGTAAAGTAAAATTGAACCATGCATAAGCAGACCATTGCTGATAACACAAAGCTAACCAGCCAGCTCTACACCATGTGCTCCAAAAGAGTTCACATTGCTTGCTCCCTGTCTGTGTCATTGCAACTTGACTTAAATGCTCCACTCAACAATTCCTTTTAATGTGGTCTTATTTTCCAGGAAATTTGAAAACATTTATGTTGGCTGGGGCCAGAAATTTAGTGCAGAGAATTACAGCCCTCCTCCACCTCCCCCACCACAAGAAGAATTCCCCAGTGGACCAGAGATCACAGAAGCTGAAGACCCATCAGTGGAGGAAGAGAAAGCTCTGAAGGCAGCACAGCAAGAAGCATTAGAAGCAGCAGAGATGGAGGAAGAAGAGGATGATGATGATGAGGATGATTAGTTTCTTCGCTTGAATTTATTTATTTCACATCTCCTTGCTTATGCATCGATTTAAGTGTAAAAAGACAAACCCAAATATATTGTGCTATGCATTTCACACTTCAATCATCTTCTGTTTGTTGAAAGAGAATAATCTTGTGCAAAACATAAAAAGAAACAATGTTGTATATATTTTTCGCAAAATATAGAATATATCCTCCAAGAATTCACTGCCATTTGGTCAAACTCTTTGTAAGAATCAAGGGTCTTCTTTGCACAATACCACAAAAAGAGTTTTATTTTACAAAAGAGCTAACAACAGATTTGTTTCTTAAACAACTTTATTCTTCAAAGAAGCAAGACAGGGTTAGCAGTGATGACTTTGGTTAAGAAGTGAACGGTTATTACATCTACTAGATACAATGTATCATACAAAAAAAACTGTTGTAGATTTGAGAAAGAACATGCATTAAAAGTGGTGTTTACAGGACTGTTCTGTAACTTAATAGTGTTTTCTGGAGATATAAAACAATACAGCTCCATCAGGCTTTATGAGGTCAATGTAAAACCAGTTAATTAATAAAATACATTCACTCTCCTACAGTCATATACAACGGCAAATCTGGGATCTATGGCATCTACACAGAGATCTACATGTTAAAAAAAAATTAATGCATAGGGTGTTCAAGTATTCTCAACTTCAGATGCTGATAACAATAAATATGAGTTTACTGCCATTGTAACTTCCATATATGGTGTCCATCAGCCTGTTAGTGAAGTTTAAATGAGATCACCAACTGAAAAAGAGCACAATAACAAATCATTAGGGTTACTTATCTTGCCTGTGGGTTCAAGTAACACTTACAAATGGCAATATTGGGATTTTCAAAACAGACTATGAGTGATTTACCAGCAATGCCTACCCTTCAAAGCCAAAGATTGATGGTGTGGGTTTTAGTCTGGGTATAGATAGGAGCTTATATGTACTTTAAAACTCATCTTCACTCTCAAACTCTGACATTAGAACAATTTTCGTATGACCTTGAATGGACTCGTCGTTTTCCCACCAAAGAAAACCCTAATACGGAGAAGGCATTGTTCGATTGGCCAATCATGTTGCAGTTCAATGTCAAAGCAAAGTATCGATTTAATTCTAGAAACTTCTTCAGGCATGAAGTTTTTTCAGCCGAGCCTTTGCTTAACCAACAAAAAGCCATGCGCGTTTGTATCTGTTGGACAAGCCAATCAAATCGCTCTATTCCATTTGTTGTTTCTGTCTTGTTCACGCTTTCATTTCAAGATCATACAAAAATTGCTCTATAAGGACCCTAAGGTTGGAGAGTTTTGAAAACCCCTTAATAGAAAGCACGGATAACTAACCAAGGTAGCTGTGTACATATAAAATTGCTAGATTGAATGGAAAACGTGAAAATGCAGAGCTCTTCTGATGTCAAATCTTTTCACTTGAAAGAACACACATACCATTCATTGGCATTTCATCAATCTGTGTACTGTAATACTGTTCAATATCACGCAAGATTCTGATGTCGTCTGACTTTACAAAGTTGATGGCAACACCTTTGCGACCAAATCGACCAGATCGGCCAATCCTATAATAGAAATTTCAGATATTGGTCAACCAAAACTGGATAAAAGATGACAAAGTTCTATTCTACCGACTTGTACAACAAGGTTAAGGGAGTTTGTGGGATGCAGCTTTTTATAAAATAACTCCACACACTCTAACTGGCTGAGATATCAAGGTGTGTTTGTGTGAGGATTTTTAAACTGTTGTGATATCACCATCTTTTGCTGAGCACATAATAATCATAAAAAAACAATATTTGGAAAAATGTTTTGCATTTACAACTCAACTATTTTGCTTCTTTCTTGGACAGTTGAATTTGAAAAAAATGTAAAATCATGATGTATCAAAGTCTTTTTGCTTACGTTGATTTTTTATATATACCTTATTCTCCTTTATTTTCGCGGGACTTAAATTTCGCGAAAATTTTCTCGGCACATTTCGCGAGTCTTTAATTTCCTGATCTCGGAGAAAAATTGTGTTTGCAGGGAATTTAATTTCGCGAAATTGACAAGTAAGTCCACATTGACGAAGAAAATTTGGAAGCCCATCGTCAAGGAGCTTTTGAGATGTTCTCACGAATGAAACAATATCTACGATAGTTACGCAATCACAGCTAACAAACGGCTCCGTGGTTGCCTGGCCGATTCGATTATTTGCCCAGAGAGATTTCTAGAGCCACTCGCTTTTTCTTGTTGAGAGGTGGGATGGTTCATCTTAAAGTTAAAGATGAAAACTATCGTCGATCCCCATTGATTGAGGGAGGTCTGGAAATTCCTGTTGAGGTGATATGTGAAATGGACGATACACCAAGGAACAGGGCAATAATGGAAACATACAAGACACTCGTAACTACACACTACAAGGAGCCGGGACAGGATGGTCAATTTAACGACTGTACAAAGGATGTATTGGAGGAACTGTGTGAAGATGATTACTCAGATGCCGAAGAAGAACTTGAGGCGAATCTTGACACTGATTTACATCTAAAGTTGATAGATGATAGCTCCTTGTACTAACACCTTGTGTTGAAAATTGTTTAGGACCTTTGAAATCACCACTACATAATTTTTCTAGGTCCATTAAATTTCGCGAGATCAAAGTTTGCGGTCGTTATTTTTCGTGGGTCTTTAAGTTCGCAAATTTTTTAAAATCGCGAAAATTAAGGAGAATAAGGTACTTTATAACATCTTTCTACAACACATGACATGATTGTGTACAAAACTTTGAGTAGAACACAAGAATGTGCAAAGCTGAATTTGAGAGGTCATCACCAATTATAATGACCCAAATTGGGAGAAAATATATTCCCTTGGGAGAAATGAGGGAATCTATTTTCTCTCAACAAGAAGTCGTTAGTAACTGTAATGTTATCTCCATCTCTTCTTACATTAATTATAGTATTTTTGAGATTAGCATTATTTCATGAAGACAGTAGAAACCTTAATTTTTACTTTGTTTGCACAGCCAAACAAACACCAAATTGGGTCATCTATGTCTGTAAAACATACTTTCATCTACATATCTGGAGCCAAAAACCACAGCATCATCTGCCTTAATTAAGTTTAAACACACCTGTGAATGTACAACTCACGGTTGTTAGGCAAGTCGTAGTTGATAACCAGAGAAACCTGTTGAACGTCGATACCTCTGGCCCACACATCTGTTGATATCAGCACCCGACTGCAGAGAAAAAAAAGCACTTTAAATGATCACTGGTCACCCCACTTGCATAACTTGATAATAATTACTATTATAGTGTTTACTGTGCACCAAGGCAAGCAAAACCACACTAATAGGTACCAAAAAGCTTACCTCTGTCCAGATCGGAACTCTTTCATAATAGCATCTCTCTCTTTCTGCGGCATGTCACCATGCATAGAGGACACTGTGAAATTTGCTTCTCTCATCTTCTCTGTAAGCCAGTCAACCTAAAAAAGTAGAAACCATTATCTGTAGAGATTTGTGCCTGTAATATAATATCACTGGAAGGCTTTTGCTGTGACACAATGTCAATGTTTTTAACAAAGAAAACAATCCCTATTCACTACCACCTCATCATCTTGGTATGCTTTAACACAGACATCTTCTCTCATCACTAATACTCTTAAGTTTCCCACTTTTATGCCACAGGAATAGGTGATTCTTATTACTCTGCCGTCCACTAGTACTGCTTATAAAGCAGGGATGGCGCAGTGATGAGTTCACTCGACTCCTACCAGTGTCACCAGGGTCCAAAAACAAGAATTAACGAGGACACGTGCACGTTGAATTTATGGCTGGTTTTCTTCTCTGCTCCAAGAGGTTTTTCTCCGGATACTACTCTGGTTATCCAATCTGGATAGTATCTCCCATATGGCAACAACTAGAGAGCTACAGTTTTAACAGTTCTCGGAAATGTCAAGTGCCGCCTCTCTAAAAAATTTTAGTTTCACTATGGTTTGGTCTTGTTCAATTTAACATATTTTTTAATGTACTGTAACTAACCTTTCTCTTGGTATTGCAGAATATCACAGCCTGTGTAATTGTCAGGGTGTCATATAAATCACAAAGGGTGTCAAATTTCCATTCTTCTCGCTCAACAGCCACAAAAAACTGCTTGATACCTTCCAGCGTCAATTCATCACTAACAAAAATTTTATTTTATTGAATTTTATCTTTCACCAAAATGTTGCCAGGGTAACCACAATGGTTTACCATCACTCTAGTCTCCCCCATGAAAGACAGGGTTTGCCTAAAACCTGGAATCTGGAAAGTTTAGTGATTAGCGTTAGGAAACTGAGTGAATCAAGTTTCAGATCAGTTTGCCCATTATAATGATCAAAATGGAGCCTGATTCACTCACTTTCCTAACCATCATTACTGCTCTTCAGAGTCATTAAGCATTCTGTGTGGGCTTACCGGATACCGGGTTTAAGGCAAACCCTGACAATTCTTGAGATTTCCCCTGGAAATAATTTGTCTTAGAGGTCTTCTTCTTCGTGGTCCGACGCCATCATGTTACAAACTCTAACTGAGAAATGACAAACTTCAAAAGAACAACAAGAATTTACTTTTTATTTGCCCTGCTCCCTCCTCACAGGAGAGGGCTGCTTAAAAAAAATTCCCCACCCCAGAACAGAAGGACTGGATTTGTTCCAGGGGGCAGGTGGTAACAGGTAAAGTAAAATTGAACCATGCATAAGCAGACCATTGCTGATAACACAAAGCTAACCAGCCAGCTCTACACCATGTGCTCCAAAAGAGTTCACATTGCTTGCTCCCTGTCTGTGTCATTGCAACTTGACTTAAATGCTCCACTCAACAATTCCTTTTAATGTGGTCTTATTTTCCAGGAAATTTGAAAACATTTATGTTGGCTGGGGCCAGAAATTTAGTGCAGAGAATTACAGCCCTCCTCCACCTCCCCCACCACAAGAAGAATTCCCCAGTGGACCAGAGATCACAGAAGCTGAAGACCCATCAGTGGAGGAAGAGAAAGCTCTGAAGGCAGCACAGCAAGAAGCATTAGAAGCAGCAGAGATGGAGGAAGAAGAGGATGATGATGATGAGGATGATTAGTTTCTTCGCTTGAATTTATTTATTTCACATCTCCTTGCTTATGCATCGATTTAAGTGTAAAAAGACAAACCCAAATATATTGTGCTATGCATTTCACACTTCAATCATCTTCTGTTTGTTGAAAGAGAATAATCTTGTGCAAAACATAAAAAGAAACAATGTTGTATATATTTTTCGCAAAATATAGAATATATCCTCCAAGAATTCACTGCCATTTGGTCAAACTCTTTGTAAGAATCAAGGGTCTTCTTTGCACAATACCACAAAAAGAGTTTTATTTTACAAAAGAGCTAACAACAGATTTGTTTCTTAAACAACTTTATTCTTCAAAGAAGCAAGACAGGGTTAGCAGTGATGACTTTGGTTAAGAAGTGAACGGTTATTACATCTACTAGATACAATGTATCATACAAAAAAAACTGTTGTAGATTTGAGAAAGAACATGCATTAAAAGTGGTGTTTACAGGACTGTTCTGTAACTTAATAGTGTTTTCTGGAGATATAAAACAATACAGCTCCATCAGGCTTTATGAGGTCAATGTAAAACCAGTTAATTAATAAAATACATTCACTCTCCTACAGTCATATACAACGGCAAATCTGGGATCTATGGCATCTACACAGAGATCTACATGTTAAAAAAAAATTAATGCATAGGGTGTTCAAGTATTCTCAACTTCAGATGCTGATAACAATAAATATGAGTTTACTGCCATTGTAACTTCCATATATGGTGTCCATCAGCCTGTTAGTGAAGTTTAAATGAGATCACCAACTGAAAAAGAGCACAATAACAAATCATTAGGGTTACTTATCTTGCCTGTGGGTTCAAGTAACACTTACAAATGGCAATATTGGGATTTTCAAAACAGACTATGAGTGATTTACCAGCAATGCCTACCCTTCAAAGCCAAAGATTGATGGTGTGGGTTTTAGTCTGGGTATAGATAGGAGCTTATATGTACTTTAAAACTCATCTTCACTCTCAAACTCTGACATTAGAACAATTTTCGTATGACCTTGAATGGACTCGTCGTTTTCCCACCAAAGAAAACCCTAATACGGAGAAGGCATTGTTCGATTGGCCAATCATGTTGCAGTTCAATGTCAAAGCAAAGTATCGATTTAATTCTAGAAACTTCTTCAGGCATGAAGTTTTTTCAGCCGAGCCTTTGCTTAACCAACAAAAAGCCATGCGCGTTTGTATCTGTTGGACAAGCCAATCAAATCGCTCTATTCCATTTGTTGTTTCTGTCTTGTTCACGCTTTCATTTCAAGATCATACAAAAATTGCTCTATAAGGACCCTAAGGTTGGAGAGTTTTGAAAACCCCTTAATAGAAAGCACGGATAACTAACCAAGGTAGCTGTGTACATATAAAATTGCTAGATTGAATGGAAAACGTGAAAATGCAGAGCTCTTCTGATGTCAAATCTTTTCACTTGAAAGAACACACATACCATTCATTGGCATTTCATCAATCTGTGTACTGTAATACTGTTCAATATCACGCAAGATTCTGATGTCGTCTGACTTTACAAAGTTGATGGCAACACCTTTGCGACCAAATCGACCAGATCGGCCAATCNCCTTGAATGGACTCGTCGTTTTCCCACCAAAGAAAACCCTAATACGGAGAAGGCATTGTTCGATTGGCCAATCATGTTGCAGTTCAATGTCAAAGCAAAGTATCGATTTAATTCTAGAAACTTCTTCAGGCATGAAGTTTTTTCAGCCGAGCCTTTGCTTAACCAACAAAAAGCCATGCGCGTTTGTATCTGTTGGACAAGCCAATCAAATCGCTCTATTCCATTTGTTGTTTCTGTCTTGTTCACGCTTTCATTTCAAGATCATACAAAAATTGCTCTATAAGGACCCTAAGGTTGGAGAGTTTTGAAAACCCCTTAATAGAAAGCACGGATAACTAACCAAGGTAGCTGTGTACATATAAAATTGCTAGATTGAATGGAAAACGTGAAAATGCAGAGCTCTTCTGATGTCAAATCTTTTCACTTGAAAGAACACACATACCATTCATTGGCATTTCATCAATCTGTGTACTGTAATACTGTTCAATATCACGCAAGATTCTGATGTCGTCTGACTTTACAAAGTTGATGGCAACACCTTTGCGACCAAATCGACCAGATCGGCCAATCCTATAATAGAAATTTCAGATATTGGTCAACCAAAACTGGATAAAAGATGACAAAGTTCTATTCTACCGACTTGTACAACAAGGTTAAGGGAGTTTGTGGGATGCAGCTTTTTATAAAATAACTCCACACACTCTAACTGGCTGAGATATCAAGGTGTGTTTGTGTGAGGATTTTTAAACTGTTGTGATATCACCATCTTTTGCTGAGCACATAATAATCATAAAAAAACAATATTTGGAAAAATGTTTTGCATTTACAACTCAACTATTTTGCTTCTTTCTTGGACAGTTGAATTTGAAAAAAATGTAAAATCATGATGTATCAAAGTCTTTTTGCTTACGTTGATTTTTTATATATACCTTATTCTCCTTTATTTTCGCGGGACTTAAATTTCGCGAAAATTTTCTCGGCACATTTCGCGAGTCTTTAATTTCCTGATCTCGGAGAAAAATTGTGTTTGCAGGGAATTTAATTTCGCGAAATTGACAAGTAAGTCCACATTGACGAAGAAAATTTGGAAGCCCATCGTCAAGGAGCTTTTGAGATGTTCTCACGAATGAAACAATATCTACGATAGTTACGCAATCACAGCTAACAAACGGCTCCGTGGTTGCCTGGCCGATTCGATTATTTGCCCAGAGAGATTTCTAGAGCCACTCGCTTTTTCTTGTTGAGAGGTGGGATGGTTCATCTTAAAGTTAAAGATGAAAACTATCGTCGATCCCCATTGATTGAGGGAGGTCTGGAAATTCCTGTTGAGGTGATATGTGAAATGGACGATACACCAAGGAACAGGGCAATAATGGAAACATACAAGACACTCGTAACTACACACTACAAGGAGCCGGGACAGGATGGTCAATTTAACGACTGTACAAAGGATGTATTGGAGGAACTGTGTGAAGATGATTACTCAGATGCCGAAGAAGAACTTGAGGCGAATCTTGACACTGATTTACATCTAAAGTTGATAGATGATAGCTCCTTGTACTAACACCTTGTGTTGAAAATTGTTTAGGACCTTTGAAATCACCACTACATAATTTTTCTAGGTCCATTAAATTTCGCGAGATCAAAGTTTGCGGTCGTTATTTTTCGTGGGTCTTTAAGTTCGCAAATTTTTTAAAATCGCGAAAATTAAGGAGAATAAGGTACTTTATAACATCTTTCTACAACACATGACATGATTGTGTACAAAACTTTGAGTAGAACACAAGAATGTGCAAAGCTGAATTTGAGAGGTCATCACCAATTATAATGACCCAAATTGGGAGAAAATATATTCCCTTGGGAGAAATGAGGGAATCTATTTTCTCTCAACAAGAAGTCGTTAGTAACTGTAATGTTATCTCCATCTCTTCTTACATTAATTATAGTATTTTTGAGATTAGCATTATTTCATGAAGACAGTAGAAACCTTAATTTTTACTTTGTTTGCACAGCCAAACAAACACCAAATTGGGTCATCTATGTCTGTAAAACATACTTTCATCTACATATCTGGAGCCAAAAACCACAGCATCATCTGCCTTAATTAAGTTTAAACACACCTGTGAATGTACAACTCACGGTTGTTAGGCAAGTCGTAGTTGATAACCAGAGAAACCTGTTGAACGTCGATACCTCTGGCCCACACATCTGTTGATATCAGCACCCGACTGCAGAGAAAAAAAAGCACTTTAAATGATCACTGGTCACCCCACTTGCATAACTTGATAATAATTACTATTATAGTGTTTACTGTGCACCAAGGCAAGCAAAACCACACTAATAGGTACCAAAAAGCTTACCTCTGTCCAGATCGGAACTCTTTCATAATAGCATCTCTCTCTTTCTGCGGCATGTCACCATGCATAGAGGACACTGTGAAATTTGCTTCTCTCATCTTCTCTGTAAGCCAGTCAACCTAAAAAAGTAGAAACCATTATCTGTAGAGATTTGTGCCTGTAATATAATATCACTGGAAGGCTTTTGCTGTGACACAATGTCAATGTTTTTAACAAAGAAAACAATCCCTATTCACTACCACCTCATCATCTTGGTATGCTTTAACACAGACATCTTCTCTCATCACTAATACTCTTAAGTTTCCCACTTTTATGCCACAGGAATAGGTGATTCTTATTACTCTGCCGTCCACTAGTACTGCTTATAAAGCAGGGATGGCGCAGTGATGAGTTCACTCGACTCCTACCAGTGTCACCAGGGTCCAAAAACAAGAATTAACGAGGACACGTGCACGTTGAATTTATGGCTGGTTTTCTTCTCTGCTCCAAGAGGTTTTTCTCCGGATACTACTCTGGTTATCCAATCTGGATAGTATCTCCCATATGGCAACAACTAGAGAGCTACAGTTTTAACAGTTCTCGGAAATGTCAAGTGCCGCCTCTCTAAAAAATTTTAGTTTCACTATGGTTTGGTCTTGTTCAATTTAACATATTTTTTAATGTACTGTAACTAACCTTTCTCTTGGTATTGCAGAATATCACAGCCTGTGTAATTGTCAGGGTGTCATATAAATCACAAAGGGTGTCAAATTTCCATTCTTCTCGCTCAACAGCCACAAAAAACTGCTTGATACCTTCCAGCGTCAATTCATCACTAACAAAAAGAAATACAAACATTATAACATGAAGTTGCCTTGTTGTGTAAGTGAAGATATGGAGGGTTGAAACTTTGCTTTGAATTCGAGGGCATTTTACCGTGGTCAATCACATTACTCAACCTACTTATGAAATGACTCCTGGGTTTAAACCTTTCACAGTTTCACATTACACGAGTAACAAAGTTATGACTAAAATAATATTAATTTTGCCTCAGTACAATAGAGTCTATTTTACACAGGTGCCCTGTGAAAAGAGGTGAGAGAGAAAAAACTTGACAAGTACCGTTTCACAAGAATCCTGATGGGATCTGTCATGAACTTCTGTGTCATTTCCAGGATATCATGTGGAAGGGTCGCACTTAAAAGAACAACCTACATGTAAATAATCAAGATATTATTCAATTCAATGAAATAAAGGGTTAAGAACTATTATTACAAAATATGAAAATCTGAGCAATAGCACCGGCACAAGGAAAGTTTATCTTGCTTCTTTTCAGAAAAAAAACTTGCCTGTGTTGCTGGAGGAAGATATCTGTAAACATCATAAATCTGCTCCTTAAAACCTGAAATGACAAAATAAAAGTACAATTTAACAGATTAGCAAAGATCAGATTTGTACCTGCTTCACAAATTGAAATTTTTACCTTTATTTAACATCTCATCTGCTTCGTCTAGCACCAGTAATTTGATTGACCGAGTTCTCAAGTTCCGTCTTCTGATCATATCTGTACGAAGCAAATAGACAAAGGTTAATCCTTAAAACCAAATTTCCCCTCTTAATGTTTATTCTTCTTAAAAATTAGTGGACAGAAGGGCTCAAAGTTCAAATTTGAGTTTGGGAGCACTTGTGCTACCAGATGTAAATTTTTAGGCGCACTGCCAAAATTTTAGGCGCGCAGCTGAAAATTTTAGAAGCACAGCTTATAATGTTGGGAGCATCTATTTCAAAAGAAAAAGTAAAAAGCTTAACAGTGCCATGTTTATTTGTCATCTTCAGTTTGTTACTTTTACTTCAGTCCTGTGATTGATAAAACACAGCCAATTTGCTACGCAGTAATACCGTTGTGATTTTTAATACTAATTTCTCTCTTTGACAATACAGTTGTGACTAAAGAAAACTTACACTTGAAAAAAAATTCAAAACTGACAACAATAAGTGTGTCGAACGAGAATGAAAATTAATCTTTAATGAATTTGTTAAATGCACAATGACTTACATGTAACTGGAATACGACTTAAAAAACTTTCTTACCTGGAAAAAAAGGCTCTTAATCCGCACCGTTTTTGTTTTGATTGACGTTAAAACTGAACGTTCGACAATTTGTTAAATGCACAATGACTTACATGTAACTGGAATACGACTTAAAAAACTTTCTTACCTGGAAAAAAAGGCTCTTAATCCGCACTGTTTTTGTTTTGATTGACGTTAAAACTGAACGTTCAACATGATCGTCCATTGCACAAAAAGTANAACAATAAGTGTGTCGAACGAGAATGAAAATTAATCTTTAATGAATTTGTTAAATGCACAATGACTTACATGTAACTGGAATACGACTTAAAAAACTTTCTTACCTGGAAAAAAAGGCTCTTAATCCGCACCGTTTTTGTTTTGATTGACGTTAAAACTGAACGTTCGACAATTTGTTAAATGCACAATGACTTACATGTAACTGGAATACGACTTAAAAAACTTTCTTACCTGGAAAAAAAGGCTCTTAATCCGCACTGTTTTTGTTTTGATTGACGTTAAAACTGAACGTTCAACATGATCGTCCATTGCACAAAAAGTACGTGTTTCATTCGTAGCATATATTTGCATGTGTCAGCGGTGTTTATTACAAAACAGGTAGTTCGAGTTCATAAGGATAGTCGGAAGTAAGTCAGTCGCACTGTGCTTTGGGTTTTACGGTGCACAGGTGTGATTACACATGAATTTTTAGGCGCGTGGGACGGCAGCTTATTGATCAAAGAAGCAAATGGTCGCACACAGTGGTTTCTCTCCCTTCATATAGCATAGCAACCGACCTGGAGAAATCACTGCTCGCAGGGAAGCAAAGAGTAGAAATCTTACCAAAAACTCTGCCAGGAGTTCCAGACACAACATGTTGTCCATAATCGAGTTTTCTGATGTCTTCTCCAACATTTGTTCCTCCAATACATGCATGACATTGGACACTCATGTAATCACCAAGGGCAAGAATTACCTACAAAAATTTGGATCTTTAGTTACAGGGTGTAGCCTATAATATTATACCCATGGATATGTTACAGGTCAGAATTAAATTGATGTTAAAATTTTTTAACCTAGGTTGAGTCTCTATTTCTTTTGTTTCCTAGCCCTATCATTTTTCATGAATCAGAGGTAGGAGACAAAGGAAACTGAGAATCAACCAAGGTTAAAAAATTTTTACCTGAAGTTAATTTTGACCTCTAACAGATAGATACAGGTGCAGTAGCTATGAGGTAAAGTCGAACCCCACTTTACGGCCACCCACTACAGACACCTCATTATTACAGACAGTTTTCTATGTCCCCAGGGAAAGCCCTTACATTTTTTTCAAAATTCAACCCACTTAATAGGGACACCCATTATTGTGGACAACGGAAACTACTTTCTTGCCCAATGAACAGTTTCTCATAAAAAGTCAACCTTGCTAACACAGACACCTTATTGTCCACTGTGTGCTGTAATAAGCCTTTCTTTTCTGAAGGTTAAAAAAAACCCTTCAGTTGACATAATGTCGATATTCCCAGGGCTATAGTACACCAGATACATGTAGGATGAATTGTGGACGACAATTTTAGACTATTTTAACATCAATCGAGGCATATATGCATAGAAGATTTTTCGATTATGTGATGTATAATGAGCGACTTTGTCAAGACTTTTGAGTGTTTTCATGTACATAGTCCGTGGAATAACGGCTTAGTGAAGTTTAGAGATGTTGAGTTTGAAGATGCTTGTGTCCTGTTTTATTTCTGTAGTGTTTTGATTAACTAAAAGTTGTTTTTTTGACTTTAATAAAATGACCCACTTAATACGGACAACCTGTTAATACAGACACTTCCTATGGCCCCTTCAGTGTGCGTATTAACAGGGTTTGACTGTAGCAGTATTGAACATTATGCTCTTGTTAATGATTACCCTTCATTCAATTGTGTACTCTCAAGTCAGATCATGCATTTCAACACCACAGTTCTGTCCCGAAAGATGGTTAAAAATAAATGCAATTCATCATACCTGTAGAGTTACACAATCAAACAATGTTTTAGCCAGTAACTACAATAAAATGACCTTCTTGTCCACTCCAGGTAATTCACTGATTCACAAACATTCTGGTCAAATTTCCTATCATCTGCCAGGGCAAATTAACTCATCAAATAACTATTTGTGTCCACGTCATCCATAAAATGTCACATAACGAAGTTTAAAGTCATATTCATGCATCAGACATCAAAGATGTATACCAAAAAGTTACTGTGAAATGCACTTGCAGAGCTGTTGTTTTGCTCTTAAAACCAATTATCATTTCTACTTCAATCTCATTAGTGTCACCATAATGGTTACTTTAACTCTAACATTACTGTGGTGAAACTTCACACTCCAGTGAGAAACGTCAAGTTCTCAGGGTATGACATAAAGTTCAGTAAACCATACAACACAAATGAATAAGGAAAAAAATATATGACGTTTTTCATACCTTCTGGATTTGCTGAGCAAGTTCACGTGTTGGCGATAAGATCAAAGCTTGGGTTTCTCTTGTCTGACAGTGAATTAATAATTAAAGTTAAAAAACGTTACTTAATTATTACTATTACTTTTTTCAAACATTCGCATGGTCCTTAACTACAGATCCTTGTTCAAAACACAAGTTTTCCCTTCAATGGAAACTTTGTATAAAAGGAGAAATTAAATACTGGACTATCTTAACTACCACTGTTGTCTTATTTGACAGTGAGCTTGCCTCCTATTGCACTCAACGTGTGTATGCCAGCTGCTAGTTTTAAACTATTAAATGTAAAGCATGGTGTGACAAATGAACAACCACAAACATTCAATTTCCACATTTTGATGTGTTATATCATTACTTTTTATTCTTTATACAACTTTGGCAGGGGAATTTTTTTTTTTAACTCCACAATACTCCCTGAGACCTGAAGTCTATCAGGGTTGGCCAGGGTTTTGGGGAAAACAATATATACAGTTTTTATAGTCTTCACCTTGAATAATGAATGGGTCTAAGGAGTACAGTATACTAAGCTTTTTGATGGAAATCTGGAGGAATCTTGGGTATTTTGGCTAATTTTTTTTTCAGTTTGATGATATATCACTGTCACCCCTGGCTAGCTTTTACAAGCTGCCTCATCCATGTGGGAGTATTTGCCCAAAAGTCGATTTGCCCTAAAGTTGATGTCCCCAAAAGAAAATGAATTAGCATAAAAGACAGTGACTACAATTGTGCTTTTTCCAGTGAAAACACAAAACAAAATATCTCAGATAGATGTAATGATCATTGCAATCCCTTAAGGTACTTACAGCTGTATGTTTGAGTTTTACACGTTCTTTCTCAAATATGCATACATAGATTGCTAAATAGTTTAGATCATTGAATCTTTTCACCAATCATGGCCATAAAATTCAAGCTCAAATAAAATAAACTTTTGGATGACTATGTTCACTGTAGTGTTGAGTGTGTATGTCACTGGGCGAAACGATGTTGGACAAATCAACTTTCAAGCGAAACAACTGCAATTGAATTCCTAGCCACATGCTCTAATGGCTCTTCATGGTCAGCATGTGGAAGATAATGTGGCAAACATACAAACCTGTATGTCTACAGACTGAAGAACACATATGGAGAGAGTAGCTGTTTTTCCTGTACCAGACTGAGCTCTGAAATTCAAAATGAAATTCAACAGTTTGCAGTTAATTTATTTCCTTTAGTCTATTAACATTTTGAGCATACAACACCGACTATTTGAAGATTTTTTTCTTCATTGTCAAATAACACCAACAAAAAGAAAATTAAAGATTATCTAAAACACAATGGACATTAGATATAAACATACAAAAAAGTAAGAACATCCATTGGTCGATCAAATCTCCCATTAATTTCTCCCAGATACTCACTGTGCAATAACGTCTCGTCCTTTTATGATCGGTTTAATAGCACGCTGTTGAATAGCAGACGGTTTCTCGAATCCTAGAATACAAAAAAGTTACTCAATACCTGCAGAACAAACGATCAAATACATGCCACACTATGGCGTCACCTCATCGATAGTTGCGACTTTTCTTGCACACTGACATACCGTAAGCGTATACACCGCGAAGCAACTCTTCTCGAAGTTTTAACTGGTCAAAAGTTGGCACTACATCGACCTCTTCAGATGTTTCGAAATCGATCTTGGTTGAATCTTCGTCTTCGTCCGCCACAACCTTTCTTTTGCGAGACATGTTTCACACCTTTCACGTTTACTGCGAAGCGTGCGAAAAGAGGGGAAAAAGCTTAGTATCCACGCCTGGAAAAAGCTATGAAATGATCAGTCCCAGATCTCTCTCGAAATCTATTTTCGGCCTGTCCAGGCACAGGTGGCCCAAGCTCATTACATGAACGCGGACGTGACTCTTGCTTGCGAGCGGTGTTGTGTTACAAACGGTTATTTACAAAGGCTTGTATGGGATGTAAACGGTTTTTCTTAAAAGAGAGAAAAAATGTTATGTTTGTCAATAAAATCGACTTACCTTATTGCCTTGTTGTATTCTTTGTTGGTTGCCCGCGTCTCAGGCCGTTTTAAAGCGTTTTTGGCGAGTTAGCGCTATTTTGGTGTTCCACTGCTAAAAGAAAGACAAGGCAGAACAGTGATTCCCGGAGTGCCCGTCGCTCGAGGCGAATAATTCCGCTGGAAAATTACCCCTGGCCTCGATTCCTCCAGAAATTCAAAGCAGAGATGTTGCAGTTCCATGTCCATTCACTCGATTCGCAATTCCTCCCACAGATCGTTCACTAGCGATGCCTTTATCTCTTGCTCGACCAGCTTCCGAATTTCAAAATAGCCTCGTCCAAACTGCCGTGGACCCGTTCACCGATCGCATAGTATGTCGGGTAACTAAAATAAGCCCAGCGAGGGTAGCCAGCGGCCTGCAGTAGACAAAAAAAACAAACCCGTTAACCCCGCTGGCTACCCTCGCCGGGCTTATTTTAGTTACCCGACATACTATGCGATCGGTGAACGGGTCCACGGCAGTTTGGACGAGCCTATTTTGAAATTCGGAAGCTGGTCGAGCAAGAGATAAAGGCATCGCTAGTGAACGATCTGTGGGAGGAATTGCGAATCGAGTGAATGGACATGGAACTGCAACATCTCTGCTTTGAATTTCTGGAGGAATCGAGGCCAGGGGTAATTTTCCAGCGGAATTATTCGCCTCGAGCGACGGGCACTCCGGGAATCACTGTTCTGCCTTGTCTTTCTTTTAGCAGTGGAACACCAAAATAGCGCTAACTCGCCAAAAACGCTTCAAAACGGCCTGAGACTCGGGCAACCAACAAAGAATACAACAAGGCAATAAGGTAAGTCGATTTTATTGACAAACATAACATTTTTTCTCTCTTTTAAGAAAAACCGTTTACATGCCATACAAGCCTTTGTAAATAACCGTTTGTAACACAACACCGCTCGCAAGCAAGAGTCACGTCCGCGTTCATGTAATGAGCTTGGGCCGCCTGTGGTCCAGGCCTTCCGCCAGGCGTTCAGATAGTAGAGGGCGGCGCGGGAGAAAAAAAAATCAAGAACAAAAAGAAAACGAGGGGAGACTACCCCTGCTTTCCTGGTGTACAATTTTTCTCCTTACCATCTGACTGCCGCGCTGTACTATCTGAACGCCTGGAACAGGCTAAAGTAGGAGTGGAAACACGGCAGGCAGGGATTTAATAGGAGTACAAGCTGATAGGGTTAAGGGTACTAAAATCTACAGACTGCCATTGGAGTATTTTAATGTGGTACCAGGCAAGAAAGAATGGATGAGTCCCTTTTAGACAGTAGAATCAGGTTAGAGAGGGGAAAGCAAAGCCACAATCTTGGACCAAATTGACAGGAGGTTTTTATCCTTGATATTTTGCATGGAGGGGGGCGGGCTTGCTATTCCATTATATTCACAAACAAAAATAGACAGAAAATTTAGACCTCCATCCCCTCCCCTCAAATGAAGGATAAAAAATGGCACCTTTAGACTTAGGCCGCTTCATCCTTGATTTCACAGGGTGGGTAGGGTGCTTGCTGTTCTATTTGTTTCATTGTTCTTGTTGTTTGCTTGTCCCCTCTTTTCCTTGTCTCTAGTGACCGTGCTGGCAGCACAGGGTAGCGCAAATTGTAATTGCTGCAATCTCAAGTTTTAACAATCAAACATGAATACACCCAAGACAAGAAGGCCTCACCTCGAAGTAACTGACCTTAATTCATTGCACGGTTGCAATGATATCTAAGTATTACTGAGTATAATTATATTACCGTATATTGAATTGAGGTGGAGTTTTTCATATTCTCTAGAGTAATATAAAATGATTCCAATATCATGGCTGTGGAAGTAGTGGGGGGCTGGGTGGGTGGGCGCATGCTGCCCTACTTTGTTGGGGGGAAATGATTTAATTTAAGAAGACTTGATTTTGCATAGGATAGCCCACATACACAGGAAAAAAAACAGATTCCCGTTGTTGGATATTTTAGGGTATTTAAAGAATACCCATAAAAATCCCAAATTTGGCAAAGTGAGACAAGTCCCAACCAGGGAATTCCCAACCAAGTTCCCTGGTAGGGACTTGTCTCACTCTTCCAAATTTGGGATTTTTGTGGGTATTCTTAATACCCTAAAATATCCAAAAATGGGAATCTGTTATTTTTTCCTGTGATACCCCCTTACATACTTAGACCTTCCACCCAGTTGAGTAAGCCAACAGCACTGCTACTGCTACTGAACTGTTTAGTGTGTATCTGCTTACTTTCAAACTCTTTTACCTCATTCTGAGGCTCACCTTCCCATGGACATTTTCCTAGTATCTACTCTAATCATCGACAATGAACCAAAATGTGTCTATTTCTTTTTCTCTTTTCCCATACTTTTGGAACAAATTTCTCGCAAAAATAGTAAAATGGTCATATGCCACACTCATTTCATCCTCTACAAAGCTGCTTAACTGAAACTACATCTTGAGAGAAATATACTTATCAAAGTGACATTTGTATTCTGTTGTGCAATAAATCATGACCATTGATTAACCAATAAGATTTGTGTACTCATAAGCCAGAGTTGCTGAGAAAACTACGATGATATCAGTACTGTGTTTAAGTTCTGCATTAGCTCCTCTTTAGTCTGAAATCCTCAGTACCGCTAGTTTCAACCACCACCATCACCCCATCCTCCCTTGCAATCACCACCTCCATCACTCCTTCAGCTCCCCAGTTTCAGAGGTGAACAGAAGATGTGCATATTTTATGCACATTGCATGCAGCTATTTTCTAAAACCCTGTGACCTTACACTTGTTATAAAACTATAGGAAGGCCGATAAACTCAGGGCAGCAGGATATGGGTCGGAACTGCATTGTGAGTTTACACTTCACAATACATTTTCGTGTGACTGGCTCAAGAAAAGGAAAACTTTGATGTAAAAGTAAACTTTTATGAAAAATTGAAAATTAAAAATTGTATAGGTTGACAGGAATAAATCAGTAAAAAAATCATCATTTTCATGCTACTGTATATCTGACTGGATCTGCAAAAACATAGCTATAGAAATCTCTCTCATATACCTTCTGGCTGAGTCTTGTAGTCGAGAATTTTTTTTTTCATAGTTACTTTTTATTTATTTCATTTGTACCGAATATTTACTGAAATAGGCTGCAGTATTTAGACTTTGATGAGTTTCTTTAATACTGGTATTAATCTACCCCCCCCCCCCCAAAAAAAAAAGTTTTTTTAAAATTCCATAATTTTCCTTCTTTTGCCCTTTTAAAAAAGACACAAATATTAAATTAAATCGAGCCTTATTGGGGGGTTGGGTTGTGTTTTTTAAGGCGGCAGTGACAAAATTTTCTCCGAGGACTATATTATCATATGTAAGGTAA